TGCACAATACAGCAGCCACAGATGGCAGAGGCAGAAATGAGCCAGGAGCAGGAGCTGAAGAAAGCAATAAAGAAAACCTCCTTGGTTGCCAGAATGGATGAGAGAGGCCTTCATGTGCAGGTGGAGAATACCACAAGCCACCACCTCTTTGATGTGGAATGGGAGAGGTTCTTGAGGAAAGTGACAGCTCAGATGGGTCTGCCAGGACAGAGGTACCCTTTGCACATTACACACAAATCTCTTCACCAGGGCTGTTTTCAATGGAAAAAATGAAGAAACTAAGGTAGAGGCTAAAGTAAGGGAAAATGAGATGGGGAGTGCAGTTCCCCCACTCTCATAAGAGCAGGGGAAGACCTCATTTTAGATGGCTCTCATCTCACCACACCTTCTTTTGCTCCAGAGCATGGAAGTAAGTTATTTTTTCCTAGGTTCAGGTGTCTTTTTGCAGCACCAGCTAGCTCATGCTACCTCCTCCAGGTCTTCAGAACCTGAGCCCGAGGATCAAATTCAGCCCACCTAGCAGCACCTGGGAAAGCAAGGCACTGCTGGGCTGACACCCTGAGAACTACTCCAAATCCTTCAGCCAGTTAGGAACAGACTGCCATTTACCCAGTCTGGCAGAATCTCCAGATCTGCTGCAGAGACCACAATGTGAATGTCAGTACTCTAAGACAGCATGAGATGTCCACCCACTGCACAGAGGAATCATAATCCGTCCTCATCTTCCTTCCCAACATAAGAATGAAGGGTATAGTCCTTTTCACAGGGTAGGACAAAATTAAATTCTAATCTCTATGCAAATTATGGTAGGGATGGTCTCCTTATTTCATGCCCATATTATTTTTTTTTTTATTCCTGTTAAGAAACAAGGAAAGTTTTGGGGCTTCCCAGATGTGTTCGGTGGGATGTGGGGAATGCATTCTGGCATAGAACCCTCTCAAGTCCTGGAGGGTACTGTTGCAGTTCTTGCTGGTTAAAGCTTTGTGACAAACCGTTCCTACACAAATACTATAAACACGGGGCATTTTCAACTCTGTACCTATCACCCACTTTCAAAAGATCAGTCAGTCTGGCAGTCCTTAATGATTTTGGAAAAATCAGATGTAGATGTTTCTGTAGGTTTTTTAGTAGTTTACCAAAGTAGTTTACCAAAGTACCTGGGCCAGAGATTATCCTCAACACCAAAACCAAACCAAACCAAAAGCCAGAGTGTGCACAGGAATAGTTACATCTTTTCAGTGTTGACTGCAATCCACTCCTTTCTTGTACCACTGAGCTTGTAAAGTCAGCTTCCCTAAGTACTGGAAGTCTCGCAGTCCTTGGGGGGACAGGAACAAGACAAGACACATTAGAGATACGACCCAAACCATAAAGGTGTGACTTCCACTATCTGCTTCCTCAGAACTGAGCAATGCTATAAATAAGGGCACCATTGCCCCTTCCTCTCCAGTGGATGAATGCTCCATTTGAAGCCATGCAGGGTCATGTGTGACAAATGCAGTTTATCATATGGCTCTGAGATGTATCATGTCTCTTCAAATTACTGTATCACATGGATAACCCCAGGATACACGCACAAACACATCAATTACACCACTACAGAGCAGTATGAAACTTGTTGGTATCTATTTTTTTAAAACCCACACATTATCCCAGCTCAACCCCACCTTCTCCATGTCATGACAAGTGGAGAAGTAGCAAACACCATGGAGCATATCACTTCCACTTGTCCTGCAACCAGCCAGCAGGATGGTGCTCAGAGTAGATAGCACATATAAGAGAGAAGAAAGGGTTTAAGCATCTTTAGGTGGAAAGACATGCTGTTTAGACTGGGGGGGCTTAATATGTAATGTGTGCTTGCAGATAGTTATCCCAAAAGGCATGTCCAAATAATGTATGTTGAATTCCTGTGAATTTGTAATTGAAAGCATCACAGAGAGCATGGGAACTCAGCTACAGACCTCTCCCAAGCACAGATTCTGGCATCTGAAGAAGGTGCAGAGGGACCACGGCCTATATCTCCTGGCACACCCCCTTCTAGAAATTATCTGTTCTGGAATCTTCCAGCGGAGCCTGACAATGCCTCTCCCACCCCTAAATCCACACATCATCTCCCACTCCTTATTGTCTATTCCTCCTTTGATCTGGGCTTGCAAAAGCTTAATGTTTGTCTTATCTAATGTCACTGTGGATGCTCATCTTGTTACACCAGGGGTTACTATTCACACACAGTGGCGATGTCTGCAAATGTGTGGGGTATGGCAAAACAAGCAGAAATACATCAGCTGTAAGCTGCTTGTTTGGGAAGAGCTTCAGCAAAGGCATGGCACACATGGGAAAACTTCATCCTCTCATTGCCCATAGAAATGCCAATCCAGATTCCCACATCTTAAATTCTCATGGCTTTGACCTGACCACCTCCTATTAGTTGGCTGTAGGTATTCAGAAAAGCCTGTGAAATGAGTGATGCTCAGGTCAAGGGACACCATGGGTTATGGTGTGGTGATCTTAGGCAATTCAACCTTAGTGTGTCAAAATGACAGCATGCTTTAGACTTCTGGTCCCATGATGAGACTTTTCACGTCATGGGTTTTCTATTGCAACCTGTCTTGTGAAAACCACACGCCCTAAAGGGAGAAGTTGACACAGGTACACAGAAAGACCAGCCTCTTTTCTAGATGAGTGAATAGAGCTGGTTCTCCATGACACACACATAAAGGCTTATTGAGCTAACACTTCATCTACAGACAAGCAGCTACAGAAAACATAACAAATTTTATCAACTTGAAATGTTCTTCTACCTTTACTTATTGGTAGGAAGTTCTCTCCCTATCCACATGTAAGGCGGAAATATTCCAAAGAGCTAACAATGTTCTCAGTGGAAGCTGTGAGCTCTCCCCTGACCTCATTACCCTGACATTAGGGGGGTACTCTTACTTGCTTAAACCATCATCTTGCCCACATGCAGCATTGCTCCCAAACAGGAGCAGCTATCCACACATTTGTTTGCTCAACACTCACTATTTCCCCATTTCATACCCAGCTTGACAGGTATAGCAACAGAGATTAAACCAATTGCTGGCAGGGTACCAGTGCTCCTCTAGAGCCACAGTCATAGCCTATGTGGCCTGTCCGGTTACTTTACTCTATTGGCTGGGCACCAACATTTCCAGATGGAGAGCTAGGAAGCAGTGCTCCTGTGGGCAAACTGCCGCTGACCCTGCAGAACCCCACTGCCTCCCTGTGAAGCATCTGATGTTGGCCATTGCCTGACATGGCCTCCCAGGATAGAGAACAGTTCATACAGAATGAGTTTGCTCTCTCTGGACAAATAATGTTTTGCCACTCATGGGTCACTTCTTACCCAACTTCTTAGGGGACTTCACTGTTGTTGCCCCATGTGAGTGTGTTTTAGATGCAGGTGTTTTGGCTGCTGAGTCTAAGATAAGCAATTCTGTGAGTGTGCAGGCAGCTGCCCTGTGGCAGGTGGGCAGTCACTTGTGAACAGGTCTGGAGCAGAGGATGCTCCACCACAGTTGAACTCTGGTCCACAGAGTCTGCTTTGGGACCATACACTCCAGGATGTTGTATGGAGCAGAGCATCCCTCACTCCAATAAACTCTGCTAGGAAAACAGGGAAGGGCAAATGGACAGTGCAGCTCACTGCAAATGCCAGCTCCTTCTGCAGGGTAAACAAATATATCTTCCTTTCCCTAGAAATCATATCACCATATGGTATATCACCAAGATATGGTATATCACCAAGAAGCACGTTCTAACCCATAGGTATTAAAAACAGTTAGGCTTATTTTGTCTTTGGGGAACAAAAAGCTGTCTATATTTTCCATCAGTGACAAAATTCCCATGGAATTGTCTGGGCACAATGTCTTTGCCCACCAGATGTGTCATCTTTGCTGCTGTTTTATCCACAGCTCTGTTTTAAGCAGGTTGCTATAGTCTAAAATTAGACACGACACATATCAATAACACCAGAGAGAAGGAGTAATCTGAAAAATATCAAGATCTTTTAATCTTGTAGACTTCAAAGAGCACCAGCTTTGTCTTTCATTTTCTTTCTTTTTGTCCTTCTCATTGAAGTGGGAAAGGCCTTTGGCAGGTATTTTATCAGTATCTGCTTATCTCTTTCTGTGCCTCTGAAAAGGCAGGTTTGATTCCTTGCAGTAGCAGATCACCAACTCTATCAGAATATGGATCACATTTTAACCCAGATGCTTTCTGACAAACTTCTTCCCCCTTCACCCACATCTTAAGCACATTCCCGCTCAATCTTGCCTGTAGCAGTCAATCTTGCCTGTAGCATGAGACAAACACACCAGTCAATTCTCTGCAAATGTAAAGGATGTATTTTTAGAGGTCTTCAAGATGACAAGAAATGCTGACCTTAGAAAACTGTGAATCACAGACTTAGTATTTCATCTTCCTTGCCTGCTCTCTCTCCATGGAAGCAAACCATCACATTCTGGCCAACTTGCTCCAGAGTCACCACCAGGCCAGAGCTGCATTTTGAGCATCTTTGCTCCTTGGTATATTCCCAAAAGCCTTGTCCATGCCAACCCCACAGGACTGATTTGCACTCTCTGGTGCCATCAGTCTCAGCAGCTTCTCTCTGTGCAGCACAGGGAGGGGGATGCAGTGACTCACCCGTCCTCACGATACCCCCTGCCAACGGGTTGTTTGTTTGTTTGAGTGATTGTATTGTTGAAGTCCTGTTGCCACATTTGTATTTTTTTTTTTTTTTTTTTTATGAAACCAGAAGTTCAGTTTTATAAACAGATGCTGTTGTGGGCCTCTATTACTCAGCTGGATCAGCGTCAGTCGTTTTTCCAGGCTGCGGTCTCTGTTCTGCACACTGAGTCAGACTAAGCCCTGCACAGATTTCTTTGAATCGCTGGTTTCCTCCCAGAGACTCTTGACTCCCCGCCAATAAAGCAGGGCGTAGCTCATTATTATTTTTTTTTTCCTTCTCCCTCTCTTTAAAGGCAGACTGATTCATAGTAACTCCTTTAAAACAGAGTGGAAAGACACCACCCTCCCGCACCACCGGAGGAAACTTAAACCACCACCAGGTCACTCCCCTTCACTACAGCTCGGCACTCCAGGACATCGGCACTGCAGCTCAGCACGCTCCTGCTCCCACAGGTGCCAGAGCCGGCCCCAGCCCACACGGTAAGAGCTGCTCTCGAAAATCCTCAGCAACTTTTCTGCCTCACTGGCAGCTGCTCCCCTTGTCCAGCAGCTCCAGCCTGCTTTTCTCCTCTGCTCCGCCACTTCTCTTCAACATGGCATACAAGCTGGCTGCGGGACACGCCTTAACCTTTCAGCTTTTGCTTTGAAATCCAGCTGTGTTGTGGGGCAAAGCAGCACTGCAAGACACCCCAGTTGCAACCGTAGAGCACTGGCAGAAGCGATGTTATTTTCGCCTCCAGGGCACGTGCAGCCCGGGTGCAGGCAGAGGGTGCCCAACCTGGGCCAGCCCCAGCGTAGGAGCTGTTGCGCGCCTTTGGAGTAGCATTGTTTACGAATGTGGGAAAATGCCTGCTTGAAATTAGGGCTGCTGGCTCAGCATTTCTAGCTCTCACTCACATTTTTCTGTGTGTCTCTCTCCCCTCCACCAGTGGTTTGCCAAGCTTTAATTTAAACTAACAACAATCATTCCAAGTGAAGTCTGAGAGGCCCCAAAGGTGCAGACTTTGGGGTACAAGGAGAGGACCTTTTTCTGATGGGGTCCTGGCTCCTAAGGCTGAAGCCACGCCCCAGTTCTTAAGCAAAGCCATTCGATGCGTAGAAATGCATGCTACGCCTTCCTTGGCAGCACAGACCCTGAAGCAGGGAGCACTGAGAGGCAAAGTGAGGGAGTGGGTGGAATTGCAATTGCTGAGAGTACCGCGGGCTGCGTGGTGGGGTGTGGTAGGCGCTGATGAGAAGTGTAGGATTACAAAGACTGGCAATTTTCCCTGCTCACCTGCCTTTTTCCATGCAACCACCCCTTCCCCTTCCCTCCCTCCTCTTCTTCACCAGTTCTCTCACTTCATCTGTCTGCTATGGTTTGTATCTTAAAGTCAAATCTGAACTATTTTTGAGGTCTGAGAAAGGGAGTGCAGCAAAGCCAGTTTGTTGGCACCAGGCTTTGTTTCCTGTTGCAGGAACCCAGCTTGCCCCATGCACAGTTTCATGGGTCTGAAAGGGGCTGAAACAGCATTTAGCCCAGTCTCGCCAGGAATGGCTGGGGCTCAGGCTGGTGCTGTGGACAGTTACTTTATAAATGACCAAGAAGCTGAGCTAACCTTAACTTTATGGCAGAAGGATGGATTTTGTGAATTTCGAGGTCCCCTCTGGTCCCATTGCTTGTGGCTTGGTCATGCAGGGGTGCCTCCTGCCTGAGAAATAGATGTGTTTGAGTGGTAGGGGAGCTGACTGAGGCAGCAAGTGTTTCCAGGGCAGTCAGCAATCAGTCTAAGTAGAAAGCATTTTTGGAAGTTGTCATTTAGCACTATTAACAATTAAGTCAGCTTGTAAAAAAAGATGTAAAAAAATGCTGTGACCACAGAGCAACTTTCACTCAAAAGCTTTGAATTCCTCAGGGGACCTCTGAGAGCAGCTTTGCCCAGGAACTGCCCACTTGACATTTCTGAACAGAGTGGGATTCTTTTCTGAGCAAACATGCAAGAAGGAGCTGGGCACAAGAGTGTGAAAACTTGGAGCCCATTAGCTATTGTTCCTATGATAACAGGGGTTAAATCAGCTGATCGCCTCCACCCTTACGCAGCTGCCAAACCTAGGGACTGTATGCACTGAGAGAGTGTAGGCTTGAAGGCAGCTTGTATCTATTTTCTCGCTTGGGGATCAGCATAGGAAAAGGATCAAAACTGAGGGTGTTTACTACCACTAACACTGCAGTGCCTGGAAGCACATTCTGAAACGCAGCTCCTTCACGAGAGGCATGGCACACCCACCTAAGGGGTTCCTCCCAGTAGGCTTCCATGTAAGCCCCCCCCAACTATGACTAACCATTCAAACACGTGGCACACAGTTTGAGCTACATCCAGGCTACCGTCCTGTGAGAGCTGGGCATCTCCACCAGCCACCTGCCATCCCAACATACACATTTGAGAGAGATGGAGTCAAGCCACACCCAAGGACACATTAATGAAGGAGGGACTTGGGATCTTGTAGAGAAACACCAAGTTTTGGAGTATGTCCTCAGAGCTGCAGGGTTGCTAGTGCTCCCCAGTACTCTGTGGAAGACAGAGAGCCCTGGGCTTGGAAAACTGGCCCTGCTGGCCTAACTGGTGGTCTTTGAATTTTGCAGTGTGCGAGCAATGCAAGTGCATACAGGAATTACTGTTTGGTGGCTTGGGGTGGAGCAGAGATTGTATTTTGAAACAGTTCTGGGAGATCTGCTGATAATAGCCAGCATTTTTTTGGTAAAAAGACCCACCTCCAGACCTTGTTTATAATGAGATGGGGCAAGGTGATGGTGGTGGGGGGGTGGAGATCTACTGCAAGCACAAATCCTTCTTTTTATTCATTACCCTCCCAGCTGCAAGGTTGGCACATGGCATGGAGCCTGCGTCTGCTTGAGTTTCCTCAGAGCAAAAGTAGGAGAGGTGCCGGAGTACAGCCTGGCTTCCTTAGTCCTGCCTGCTCCCATGGGGCTTCACAGGCCCCATCAACCCCACACTGCAGCCATGACACCCCGTTCACAGCACGTTTCCACTTGCTCACTTACCCAGTTCCCTCTGGCTTCTGGATGGGTGCTCTCTCCACTGAGTGTTACACCCCATGGCGAAAGGGGACACAACTGATACCTGGCTGGGATTTGCCCTCGGATACTCAAGTGCCCCACAAGGCAGCAAATAGTACTGCTAGACCCCTTTGATCGCAATGGGTTCGTGTGCCTGTACCTTTCAACACAGAGATGACAGCACTGTCACCACAGTCAACACAGGGCAAGCTGCAGGGCGTGGCACTCCTACTTTTTTTCCTTCCTTCTGTTGTCTTGCAAAAAAAGTGTTGAAAAATTACTACAAGATAAGATTTCTTTACACTTCCTTCAAGGCAGGGAGAAGTAAAGGGGCACCTCTGGGTCTCTTACACCTCCAAAAGGGAGGTCAAGGAAGGGGATTTCCTATCCCTTCATCTGAACATGGATGCTTAATGCTTCATGGGTCTTTGCTGAGGCAAAGCAGCATGCACAGAAAAGGAGACTCTTGTCCATGACCCTGCTATTTTGTCAGCCCCTGCCAGGACTCATAACTAACTGATAGCCACAGTGCTGTAATTCTGGCCCTGAATAAATGTGCTGAAGTACCAGCTCAAACGTGACTATATAGATCCTCTGTCAGAGCTAGTCCACACCCAGCCATCCCACAGCATGACCAGCAGCAGCTCCCCATATAAACTGCCCATAGGGAAATCTAGGGTGCCTTCTTTCTTAAACTGCTTTCTGCTGTTACACTGAAGGGGGGCAGCAAAGCAGCACATCTGGGCACTGCCGTCTGGAGCATGATTTCTTCAAACCCTGCTGGGAGAGTTTTGTAAAGTACCTCCTTAGTTAGAACCGCTGGACCAAATGAACAAAGGAAACCCTGGACCAATTTGCACCTCCATGCACCCTCCTCCTCCTGAACTATTTGCGGCAGGGCAGAGGGCACATGGGAGCTGTTCTCTGAGTAGGACCCAATGTAGCCCATACCTTGTCATGGTAGGGAGGGACAGGTTAGGACAACTCAGCTCCAGAGCCCATGCTTCCCAAGGGATTATTAGTTTGGCAAGCTCATAATTAAGATCTGTCCCCTTTCCCCTGTGAAAACCAGTCTGTACCACAGACATGGGGAGACACCCATGATGAGAGCCCAGGGACAGATCCTGGGCTAAATCATCCCCAGCCATGCAGAGAAATGCAATGAACTATGAGCACTGGAGTGGCTGACAGTAGGTGAGCAGTGACTCATGCCAAAGGTTTAGCTCTTGCGATGTGGGGCCATCTGGCAATACGTTCGGATTAAGAGGAAATCCAGGGCACAAACGTCTGCTGTCCTTTTGCCCTCACAGGGCAGAGTCTGCTCAAGGAGGGGAGTTGTGAAAGCAGCTGCCAGGACTGGTTCTAGCGTCCACATTCTTCACATTCCAGAGAGACATCTCCCCTAATGAGATGATAGGGCCCCAGAAAGACCCTGGAAAGGACAGTGAGAGCCATGAGAGCAAGAGGGGAGAGCTGCAAAATGCTCAGAGCAGGGAGCAGGCTGGTCAGGGGGTTGCTGAAGAGCAGCTCCAGGAAGGGTGTCTACTGCTGAAGTAAAGCTGGGCTTTGAGACTGGCACAGCCCCTGTTCATGCCAGCTCAGGCAGCTGAGCCAACCTGCCTTCTAGCTGGCCAGCAGCTGTAGCCAGGCCAGCATGGTGTGCCCCAACAAGGGGAGTTCTTGATGCCTTGTGGAAAGCCATTTCTGCATGTAGCATGAGCTAGAATGACCCTTATACTGTTCTGCCAGCCTGTATTAATCACAGGTGTAAGAAGCTCTCTTGAAGCCAGACGGGGGATTTTACCTCACAACCACCTTCACCCTACCCTGCACAGAGCACCAGTCAACAGCAGGCTGCACAGCATCCTCTTGCTTCTGCTTTATACTCACACTCCTGGCTCCCTCCAGCCCATCACTCGTGCACTGTGGGTTGAAAGAAGGAATTGTCATACAATTTTGCAATTTAATCCTGCAGTGTTTTCCAAGCTGGCTTCCAAGAACAAGGACACTCTGGAGGCAGACTGACCCAAAAATCTCAGACTCTAGATGCATAAGTTGCACTGACTTCTGTGTCTCATAGGCTGTACTGGCATGTTCAGAGGTTTTGCAGTCTTGAGAGACAAGAATGCTATCTGATAAGGAGCCACTTCTTTTTCAGAGTTACCTTCCCTTGAAAAAAAAAAAAGGGAAGATCTTTACAAAACTGTCTATGAAAACCAGACAATTGCAGTTTTAATTTAAAAATGCAGCCAAAAGCACAGCTGATGTGGGCTCCACAGACCTTCCACCTCTATCTAAAGGCTGTTGTAAGGAGGAAAAGCAGGAAGTCCACCAGAAATGATCTGTGTACTTCTGCTCACAGCACACTGTAACCTGAACTTTCCTGTCAGAGCTGTCAGATGGTTTCTCCCACGTGGGCATT